GGTCAGTCTGTAATTTAAAATACAATGTTTTTTAAGGAAAATTTAGAAAAATCAAAACATTTCTTTATTAATTTAAAGGAAACATATTTTGTTTGATAAAAAAACTATGATACAATTTGCAGCTTAGCCGAACAACAACAACACTTCCAACAACACTTTATCACACATACCCCCAGAAATGAGAAGGTGAGAGAATAACTTTGAAACAAATCTATTGCCAACATGCGGGTATTAACAGTAACAAAAGCATGCAGTAGACTCTCTTCTCATTTGTTCAATGTTTCTTTGCTTTGTTAAGCTCTTCTGTAATTATAGTCACTCTCAAGGGAGAGAAACCTTATTTAAATATGGTTGTTTTTATTAAAATACTGTAGCTAGAGTCAAACATCAAAGGGTGTTTCCTGATCTACATATATATATAGAATATAAATAAATAGGTTCGATTTTTTAAGATGATTTAATGAAATTTGGCAAGGACGAAGTCTATTGAAAATGGTTGAAATCGGATCTTTATTTCATCTAGCCCCATACAACCGTATCCTCTGCATACAACTTGGTTGTGTCTCAATGATACAGCCGATTTTCTTAATCATCTGTTCTCATTTGATCCCCCCTACAAAGTCTCCTTTAGAAAATTACTTAAATGTCAATAATTCTCGTATAAACACTAGTATCGCTGTAGAGTCTAATTGCTTGGCCATCCGACTATACATTACTAGGGTTCTACATAATCGAACAATCGACTTTTTGTCGAAAAGTCGAAGTCGACAATTTTGTTCCAAAAAAAAATCGAAAAGTCAGAAAAAGCCAAAAAAGTCGAAAATAATCAAAAGTCAAAAAAGTCGTAAATAATCAAAAAATCGAAAAATAAACTATTTATAAAATACTAATAGTCGAAAAGTCGACTTTTAATTAAATGAAAAAAAGTCGAAAAGTCTACTTTTCATAAAATGCAAAAAGTCAAAAAAGTCGACTTTTCGTTTCAACTATAGAACACTAATTCTTACTCGTTTTGTAATGTACTTTTTTACTAAAATGCTTTGAATTTCGGAACCAAGTACGAATCGAGCTCAAATCAAGCCTTTTGTTGGAATTAATTCAATCTTTCACTTTGTCATCGTGCTCCAGATAGATTCAAGTACGGATTTCTCGATTCTTTTCTTCCGTGTAGTGGAATGATTTTGATGAAAGAGTCATAACCTCCATTTTTCAAAGAAAATTAAAAAAAGCTTTTATAAAAATTTTTTGAAAAATGTTCCTGAAATTGGCAACACTGTTCTGCTGTAATATTAAAAAAAATAAAAGACACACTAATATATCATTTGGAAATCTATCAACATATGTTTTGTTTAAAAGAATGTTTACAGAGACAGAGATAGATATGTATGTTTATGTGTGTTTGTATATGTATGTATTTGCTTCCTGATAATATTATAACTTTTTTTTCTTATTTATACATATTCGATTGTTTATTCATTAAGCAATTGCTATTGTTGTTGTTGTTTTATTATTTTTATACGTATTCGCTTTTATGCTATTTCATTTTTTTGTTATTCTATTTCATCATAAAAAACTACGCATTTTAAAAATGAATCGAAAAACTCAACTCTGTTGTATTTCTCCTTCATGATTTTCACCACGTCACCATTTACTAACAGTTAAATACTACTCTCACTCACAATTGAGTGTTTCACATTTTTGTTCTGTCTGTTATAAGTTGTTGTAATGTGCAAGGTTTTGAATTGCATTATTTTATAGTGTTTTTGTTTTTTCTGTTTTTTATTTCTTTCCTGTGTTGAATTTGTTTGTTTTTCTTTTATTTCTCTTTATATTAACATGTTTTTCTTAGAGTTCTTGAGTTTTTTTGTATTTCTTTTAAAGCCAGTCTGTCCGTCTTTCTGTCTTGTCCATATCAGTGAGTGTGTGTTGTTGTGTTTATTGTAATTTATGTGCATAAAATATTTGCTTTTTACGGTACTTTTTCCTAGTCTGTTTCTTCCTTTTTTCTTCTTCTTTATATTCCAAATGGACTTTGTTTTGTTGCAAGTTTTTCTTAATTCTGTTGTTGTTTTCTTTATATTGTACTCTATTGTCATAGTAGCTGTATGTGGTTGTTGTAACCGTAATCGGAAAACATAGTGTGCTGGTGGTGTGTCGTATAGTCACTCTCGCCTACAGTTGTTTTGATTTTAAATGTCTGTCTGCTGTTTTTTCTCGTTTTCTTTTTGTATGTCTGTTGTAATTCGTTGTAATTTAAAGTTTTACCACATTTTGTTTTAGCTTTCATTCCACTCAATTTGTAATATATATTGAGTTTTTATTTAAATTTTTACATTTTTTATGTATTTTTGTTTGGTATGCGTCTTTTTGTTCAAAATTTTTTTTATTGTTATTGAGGTCATCTCTGATAATGACCTATTCTTATTGGTATTTTAAAGATATTTTTGGAAACTCGTTCTAAAATGTATTTCTCTAAAAGGAACGCATATTTTACTTCAGCTAGAAGTATACTAGAAAAGAGTATTATTTGTTTATTGATAAAATTTTGAAATTTAATAAAATAGAAGAGAATTGCATTTCAATAAATTCCAAATTTCCATACTCAAGCGTTGTTAAATCACACGATGTTGAAATCTACCAGACCTATTAAACGTTTATCGAAATACATTCTAATAATTAAAAACTTTTAGATCATATTAACTTTTAACTGTTGAAGTTGTCAGATGTTACATTGTTGTCATCATGTCAGAGAAATGTTCAGAAAATGACTTAACAACCGTTGTAAGTTCACAATTGTCTTGCAACGTTGCCAGAGAAATCATTGTCAGTACATTGCAAAACAATAATATTGTCAGACTTCTGACAATCGCGTAAACACATTTCGTTAACATTGACATATCATTGTATAAAAATTGTCAGACAATTTTTATTGTCAGATGTGCCAATTTTATACATCTTAAAATGGTATCATTACTAGATAAATTATTTCTCTTGGCAACACTGTACATTGAAAGAAACATGTACAGTTAAATAGGATCTGGCAACTTTTGCCACACAATTATCTGTCAACAGTGTGAACAGACAATTAATTGGTAGTTACACTATACACTATGCGTTTTCCCTTCAAAGCATTGCGTGCTTCTTTCATTTCCCGGTGGTCTTTTTCATCCACTGGGTAGCCTTAAAAACGGTCTACCATCGCCCCTAAATCCTTCAATGAAGAAATCGCTTAGCAATTTTTGTATATGGCTGAGCCGGTCCATGTACAAGCACTTTGCTGAAGTACTTGAGCTTTCTAATCTCTTGCTATTAGCCCCGTTAGGGAAGGACAAAGAAAAATACAATCACTGGTTAGAGTCGATGGAAGGTGCGGACCCAACATCAGGTGAAAATACTCTATTGATGTTATGAAGAATGCTCTGTCCCTACAAACATTCTCATCATCTAAAGACTCACCCCAGTTTATTCCTGGACCTCTTAAAATCACCCAACCACACTGATGGTTTCTGTTGGTTTGGCAACAGCACCTAGAGACGAATTTGGTAGCCCAAAATAAGAAATCAGGATCGCTCCAAATGAACCGAACTTTGGCAAAGGATGTAGGAATTTCCAAAGCCAACTGAACCCAATAATTACCCCGACAAATAGTCGCGTAGCATGAATCAATATCTTCTGTTGAGATGGCAACAGTACCGAGAAACTTCCCCGAAGCGTAAAAAGCCCTACTAAATCAGTATTCATCTCCAATATATAGAGACTTTCCCGATCTTTCGTCACTTTTTGCATCAGTCCCATTCCCATGATCATAAAGATCTCTCTTCGGAATGACAGGCAATCACTGAAAGCTAACCTGACAATTCCCCAGCATATACCGGTTCCCTACTACACGACCGGTAAGAAATACTGATCGGGTTCAGGAATCCAGCATATGCTGCTTTGTACACAGACCTGTGTCATTTGAAAAGAGAATTAAGGGGATTAAGGGTTATATCAGCCTTTAAACCAACATTCTCTTCCCGCGAATTTTGGTTTAAACCACAGCCACTACGTGGATCCCGAAGGAACCTTAACCAACTGACCAGACATGAGAAGTCCTACGGGCAACTGGCCACCCGTAGTACCAGATTATGTGGTTCTCTGGTTGGACCCCATGTCAAATCATACCAAGGTCTAGCCAAGGAGTGAAGTGACATCACCAGTTTATAGTCCCGGAAGACTAGAGGTACTGGTAGCACATCTTTACCCCGGGATGTCCCGGGTGTAATTTTATGCTACACACACAATATGTATATCATACTGTGTTAATTTCCATCCGATAATTACCCAATGCACTTATTAAATCTTTGTTGGACGCCTGACTCTATGCCAAAATTTAACACAAAATAAACTTTGTCTTATGGATTATACATTTTTAAAAAACTTTCACTTCCCTGTTTTGTTAATTTTTCAAGTTTCTTTCTTCTCTACTTTATTGCGTGCTTAATATGCCTATTGTAGCATGTTTAGTACTCTACTCACTCAAACACTTTGTTTAACTTTAGTGTACCCCCACTCATTTCAACTCTTACACCAAGAAAATGAGTTAAAAGACAAGACAATGGAATTGAATTGGATGGTTGGGTAATGTAGATTGTAATAACATTATAAGAAAATTGCTTGAAAAAAAAAGACAATAAGAATTAAATTGAAATAAACAATTATGGTTTCCACTTTTCTTCTTCTTTTGATAAAGTTAAGTTGATGGTTGAAAGAGCAGTGAAACAATTTGAGTGCTTTTCTGGTGTGTGAGATGGTGGTCAGTAATTGCGAGTGTGTTGAGTTTAGTATGGTGTTAATTTTTGTTATTGTCAGTGTGAGTTTTATTTTTTTTTCATGGCGTATAATTTATTTAATTACGTACTCTTTAGTAACGTGGTGGTGAATTTGTTGTTTGGTTTCTTTGTGTATTTGGTCTGATGAGGAGGTAATCTTATTGTTATGTGTGGTGTAATTGTGCTTGTTGTTGTTGGATTTGCTGCCTTGTGATAGCCAGCCAACAACTTTTCATATGAATTTTGTGTTTTAGTCGAAAACGAGTGCTTGGAGACTTCACATATTGGAGGATCAAATCCACGTTATAAAGTTGTGAACAGAAAACACAAAAATATCACTACTACCACTATTACTTGTGTATTTTTTGCTCTTGGGTGTTTTTTCTTCATTATTACAAAAAAAGGAGAAATAATTTTTTTGAAAAATAAAATACTGTGAAAAAGAATTTTAAAATTTTAAAAAAAAGTTGCTAAAAGCAGCAAATATTTTTTGGGAGATATTTAAAGCAAGAAAGAATTAAGTGTTACACAAAAAAAGCTTAAAGTTATTAAAAAATTCCCCAAAAAAAAAGATCTATAAAAATTACGAGAAATTAAATTAAACTTAAAAAATTAAATAAAATAGCTAAAAACAACCTAAAGTGGAATACAATATTAATAAAAAATTTTAACGCAAAAAGTATTAAACAGGATTAAATATAAAAAATTATTGTGATAACATTTTTTCGGATTTATTTAAAAAAATATATACCACATACAGTGCAATTTTATTTATTATAATTTTTTTAAACATAAATGCTTTGAATATTGAAAATATATTGTTTCCTAAAACAATAATTAAGAAATTTTAAAAAAGAAATATAAAATTATTAAGAAATACTATAAAAATTTAACAAGAATTTCATAAAGGATACGCCTAAAACTGTGATTAAAAACAACATTTTATTTCAAGGGATTATATTTTGCCAGCAACAAAAAACATCAAGGATTAAAAAAAAAATTTATCACTAAGAAAATGTAAGTGAAGTTAATATTTTCGTCATTTTTTTCTTATTTAAAAGAAATTTCTCTAAAATGAAAAAATATACGAAAAGTGTTGGTAAACGTTTTGTTTTTTTTTTTAATATTCATCATTTTTTTTCTAAGTGAAACCCAACAGGCAATGTTGTCAAGTTTCTAAAAAGCATAATATCACTTATTCCTCGTTTTACTACTAGCTCTCTCTTTCTTTTTTGAAAAAAAAATGAGTGTGTGTTTTTTTCAGTATTTTTCTTTTATTATACATATTCTTCCTCTTTTTGTAAGCAAGTAGTTAAAGTATAGTATGACGTTATGTTAGTTTGACGTTTTTATTTTTCTGTTGTTGAAATCAGGGATGGCAAATGGTATTTTTTATAAAGTGTATAAAACAGGGTTTATAATTATACTTTTTTGATTCAGATTATATTAAATGACGATTATTTTCGGAAATATGGATCAAGAAGTATGTATTCGTTCATAGTCTAGACGATAGACTAGTCTATATATTAAAGAAAAGAGTTGTCAATATACCTGAGAAAACATTCTATAAACTAGAGAAAATATTTGTCTATAGATTAGAGAAAAGACTAGCCTGTACACTAGACAAAACTTGTATCTATATTCTAGATAATATCGATTAGTAGACAATAGATAAGTCTAGACTTATCTATGGTCTAGTTTAAGGACGGGAAAAAATACTAGTCTGATGACAAGAGAAAAGACAGACAAGAGGTAATACCTAGTAGGTATAAACTAGACTAGAGAAAAGCCTAGTCTATAGAAGAAAAGTTAGTCTATAAAAAAGGCAACACACTAGCCTATATTCTAAACAATATATTACTTTATAGTCAAAAGAATATACCTATTGGTCTTTAGACTAGACAGGAGAAAAGACTAGCCTGTTGACAAGAGAAAAGACTAGACTATAGAGAAATCAGTCCATAAACTAGACAACACACTAGTCTATAGTCTAAACAATATATTAGTCTATATATAAAATACTAAGACTAGACAAAAGCCTAGTCTGCTGACTAGACAATAGACCAGTTTATGAACTAGGCAGTCGATTTGTCTATATACTAAAGAAAATACTAGTCCACACACTATGGACTAGTCAATAGACAATATACTAGTCTATTGAAACTCCAAAAAGTACTTCACACTTAGACTAGTTTATATACTAGAAAAGTCATTAGACTAGCCCATAGTCTAGTAATAAGTACATACATACTTAAAACGTCTATTGAAATTGCATTTTCATTGCTGTACCATTATAACTTCAAACATCTAATTGTTCCAAAATAATTGTATAAATCTAAAAATTTTGCCAACCCTGATACAAACTGCCCTCGTCTGGCTGTTAGTGTTGTTAACTCTAGCATAAACGTAGAAGTAATGAAAAGTATCATAAAAATAAACCTCAATAATAAAATCTACCATTTTGTTGTGTGCTGTTGTTATATTAACAAAGACAGCTGAGTTTTTTTTTCATACTTTTTCAACATTTTTGCTTAATAATTATTAAATTGTTTAAAAATTTAACTCTTGTTTAATAATACTCTTTAAAAAAATTATTCGTTTTCTTTAATTAACTTTGTTTCTTTGTATATTTTTTTAACAAAAATAAAAATATACCCCATGATTTGCTAAAAATTTGAGAGAGTCTCTATAACTTGTCAATTTAACCCAACATTTACTCTCTTTGCTACTTTATTTGCTATTGCTTCTTCTTCTTCTTCTTGTTATTTGTGACTTGTTTTCTTCTTTTATTTTATATAAACTCTCTTTTACTGCTATTTGCTCTATTACTTTGTTTTCTAATATGTTTTCCTTTACGTGTTTCTAATATGTTTTCCTTTACGTGTGTCGTTTGACTCTTGCTCATTGTCTAGAAAGGGAAGGCTGCTTATATTTTTATATGTTTTTTTTTTGTTTTTTTCCCCCAAATACAAAAAAAAAAAAAAACACAAAATTGTATTTTATTTTTGTCTTTTTTTCGTATACATACATTCATACCTACCTACTACCAGTATATGTTAATTTTTTGTTGTACTTGTTTCACTTTATGTTTTTTTATACTCATTAAAGAGAGAAAGTGTATAGAGGAATAAGATTATTTTTGTTTTAAACTACACTGTAAGAAATGTTAAAATTTGTTTATTTAAAACTCGTGTCTATAATTAATATTAATAAGTTTATAAATCTTACTTGTAATTGTTATTATCTATCTATCAGCACTGGTGTGATTAGTAATTTGCTTTTTTGCAATAAAAACATGTGACTCATTAGTTATTAACAAATTGTTGTTATAAAAAGTTTTAATTATTATAGAATTTATTTGGAAGTTTTTAATTTTATGAGGAAATTTGTTTTGAGAAAGGATCACTCGACAGATTAGTGATTAGTGTAAAGTTTTTCAACACTTAAGCATTTCTTTTAAATACTTACTTGTAGAGAAAACTTGTATATACTAAAGTTTTGGAAATGGAAAATTCATTGGAATACTGAACTTTTCAACAGACAAACGGACGAACATGTCTAGAATGCGCTTTCCAAATCAGAGTAATTGTGGAGAAAGAAAAATATTGCTTCGTATCTTTGGATTAATAAAGTAAGGTTACTCCATTATTTTATTGAAACTAACTGTCATCTCTTCGTATATTTTCGTAGAATTTCGTAGGGACTTTACGTTTATGAAATAAAAGCATCTTAAATCTTCAATATATCGGTAGTATCGGTTCGCCAGAGGTGATCACTAGTCACTTTCTCTTTATTATCATGATATCTTACGTAAATGTCATTTTACGGCAATATCAATTGATAACGGTTTCTGAAGGCGTATTCTCCATCTGGGCCAGATGAATAAGTGTATGTTTCGTTAAAACACCCGCTAATTCCTAATCCGATATGATTTTTTGGAATTAGAGTCATTAGTGAACAATTTTTATGGTGATACATTAAGGATTCTAAAAGGCCGTGTTTTCGACTACAGAAATGTTCGTCTACATCGAGGATTCTAATCTCACACTTCTAACAACTTGAGATCCAAATTTATTGTCTTTCGTTTCATGTCTCTCTTTCTCTTTTGCTTCAGTTTTTATTATTTTGTGGACTCTAGCGGCATCCGAGTGGAAGGGTTATTATGTTACCTTCCAAACCTAATCTAGAGTTAATTATATCCAAATTCAATTTGCTATTTATAAGTGTTTATCTTGACCCTTATTATGGCTAGGGTTGCCTAACAATTTGAATTATTTTTGTTTTCTTTAATTTGTTTATTTAGAAATTTATTTATAAAAAATAAATATATTATCGTATTTTTATTAAATTATATACTCCCATTAACTTGTTTAACTGTGGGAATTTCGTACAGTTTTCTTTTTTTGCATTTGTGTTATTTGCCATTTTATCTAAATGATTTAATTATATTTATTTGAAATTATTTCTTTGGCTTTTATATATTATTTAAACATTGTATATTCAATTCATTTTATTGGCCCCATGCCATTGGCTCACCCTTTTTTCTTTAGTTTCGTTTATTTTTTTTTGCAAATTTAACAATTTTACAACTTGAATAAGAAAAATTTCTTGTATAATCAATGTTAAATATTTAGTATAATTATTATGTTTGCTGCTTAAACCTGTCAAATAAAATGTCAATTGAAAATCAAAAAAAAACTTAACATTTTAATTAAAGCAAATTTTGTACAGTGTATTTGCTAAATTATGAAAAAATTTTGTTTATTTTAAAATTTGTTCATTTGATTTTTGCTTGTAATGCTGCTAAATTATTTTTGTCAATTCTCAGAAATTTTTTGTTATTTATCTGTTGGGGTCTAGTGATTATGATTCATAATTTTGTTTATATTTTTTTTAATATAAATGCTAATTTCCATGAATTAAATTTTTTGGAAAATACTGGAAATAATTATAATAAAGTGTTTTCAAGATTAGAGTACAGTTTTTATGAAATTTTTGGGAATATAAGTGTTTTTTTAATTCTCAATAAATAAGAAAAATTCAATTAATGCTTAAGAAAAATTCAATAAATTTCTCTATTTATAAAACTTTTATTGATAATATTTTTTTATAGAAATTTGTCTAAAAAATTTTACCATAAATTTTAAATATTTATAGAAAATTAACATAAAGTAAAGTTTTTAATAAATTTTAAAAGTTATCTTTATTCAATTTGTAATTTTTAGATAATAATTTTTAATAAATTTTAAAAGTTATCTTTATTTAATTTGTATATTTTTAGATAATAATTTATAAATTTCTATATTTATAGAAATTTTGAGAAAACTTTATTTACTACTTTTAAAAATTTTTAAAATTTACAATAAAATTCTTATTTTTTACAAAATATCGAAAACTTTTGGAAATTCTTTGACAAATTTATAGAAAACTTTCAACACAATTTCATCTTTAAAGTAAATTTTCCCTAAATTTCTTTATTTTTAGAAAAATTTCCAAAAACTCACTATAATTTTAAAAAATTTCAATTCAAATTTCAATATTTTTCTGGAAATTGGTGCATAATTTGTGTATTTATTTAAAATTTTAAACACAATTTTTTCTTTAAAATAAATTTTCCCCAAATTTCTTTATTTTTAGAAAATTTTCCAAAAACTCACTATAATTTTGAAGAATTATCGATAAATTTCAATATTTTTTGGATATTGATGCGAAATTTCTGTAGTTATTTAAAATTTTAAAAAAGTTACTTAAATTTAAAAACAAAATCGAGAAATTTATGTTTTTATATAAACTATTAAAGTAATTTCTTTATTTGCGATAAATTTTCAATAAATTTTTATTTTTTGTAAAAATTTTTCAAAAAATTTCTCATTTATTGGAAATTTTTTAGGAATTTCAATAAAATAATGTATTTATAAAAACTTTTCAATAGAATTTCCCATGTTCTGCAAATTTTTAAAACATTTCTCTTTATTTCCAGAAAATTTTTGATAAATTTCAACATTTATAAGAAAATT